ATATATGTATATATGTATATATATATATATATATATATATATGTATATATATATATATATATATAGATATATATACAAGCAGATTAAGGCATTCATCTTGACAATAAACATCAGCTGGAAGATTGCAAAGAGCATGTGTGCGTGAAAATTTAGTAAAAGCATTCCTTTAACTCGTGAACAATAACCAAGTCAAACTATCAGCTGATAAAACCAACCAGTTTAATGGATGAAATGTGTGAATAAATACAGTGGTGATTAAAAACCAGCCTAATACACAGTTTCAAAGTGTGCAAAAATGTGTGAATGTAACACAACTATGTGTGTAATGTCAGGAGTACTTTGTGAATGAGTAAAGTAGTGTATACTTAAATACATGCCAAGTTAAAGAGTATATCACCAGGCAAATGTAAAGCCCATTCTGCAGGAAAAAAACAAAAGTCTGACAATTTTAGCAACTGAGACGTTCTGCTTTCTGACTGATGAGTTTGTTTTGTCAAGATGTCGTATAAAACCAGATAAACATAACCACAAGCTCAAGTCGTTGTGGGCCTCGTCTCTGGAAGGTGTGTACAGTGTATTCAGCTTTGGTTTGACCGGCTGCTCAGCCACCAAAATGACATGAAGTGCATTTATCAAGTAGTCTTCTCTCACATTACTGCGTTGTTAAACATTCTTGAATTTTGTGTGTTTAGTACGGTGGCCCTGAGGTTTAAACAAACATTTGAAAAAAATTACATTAAGCCAAACCCGAATTGGCCAAACTGGAAGTGGTGATGAAACGGAATTACATTTCATTAAACAAAATTACAAATTTTAGTTAAATATCATTTTTGTTTACTTTTGTCATATGTTTTGCTACTTCTCTACTCCAAATAATGTTTCTTAAAGTTAAATTTGATCTGTATAATGGTAAATTGTTTGTGCAAATGTTAGGAGGTATGACAGAGGATTCTTCACATGCTTATATGCTTCATTTTGTAATTTGAGATTATCATTCATTCTTTTGTTCTTGTGTTCTATAAATAAAGTAAAAAAAAAAAAAGCAGTTTTTCACCACTTTGGGTTTGGCCACTTCCTGTTTTCACCACTTCCGGTTTGACCACTTCCTGTTTTCACCACTTCCGGTTTGGCTTAATGTAATTCTGTTTTTTCAAATGTTCATTTGAACCTCATGGCCACCGTGGTTTATTTTTTATTTTTTATTTTTTATCAAAACCATAACCAGACACATTAGATTTCCGTGCAATGCTGGCTCCTAAAAAAATGTAGCAAATGTTTGCATGTGCTTTGACAGGACTACATTTTTCCAAAAATCAAATGTTGCAAACACAATATGTCCGACAATTCCAGAGAATAATTATTTATCCGCGTTATTTTAAATGATTCCTACTGAACAAGTCTTGAAGTTTACAGTACATCACAGATTATGTGGGATTCATTGTCATTGAAGTTTCACGTTGTACATTCATGGCTCAATATAGTGCCAGTCATTAAGGTAATGTACACAAACATTTACAGCATACGCAGTTTTGTTTTCTGTCGGGTAACCTCGACTTAAGTTATAAAACAAGATGTTGATAAAGTCACCACAGATGAGGTCACCTGCTGACTGGAAACTTGAACAAAACGGACAACTTCATCAGAAAAAGCCTCCTTCGTTGTCACTTCCTTCCTTTTCTTCATTCATTCCTATAAAAAAAAAATCCACTGACCAATTCTAAAACACATTCAAATCATAACTTGATAAAACTCATTAAAATAAAGACTCTAGTTAACTTTTGCTCATCTTAGTCAAAGAAAAAATGTCCATTCTTGCCCCTAAATGTCTTTTCTACTTTTTGGCAAAGGTATGTTCCGGTCTTCCATCGATCAGACTCATTGTTCGGTTATTTTGGCTGCCAAAGTCTTGACACGTGGCAACAGCGCTCCATCATCGCTGAAGCAGCAGGATGGTCAAAGGCAGCAGCAGTAGGAGCTTACAGATGTTGCTTTGGGACGAGGTAGCGCCTCCAACTGGACCATCGTCTGGTGAGTAGGCGTACAGTCCAGGTCTGCTCCGAGGACACAATCCACCAACGCACATCCCACTTCCTGAGCCGCTGATGTCATCACCTGGACAGATGTAAAAAAAATAAAATGATTAAATTAATTTTGAACTCAAAGTGCAAGGCAAAAGCCATAGTTAGTCAAAACTGGTCATACACAACAATTTCTATCTCTAAGACGTAGAAATAATCCTAAAGAGACCCACTTGCATCCTGGAAGTCTACGTCGTTGCCATCCAGTGCGTTCTTCAGCCGATTGCTCATTATTTTGAGTTGCATGATCTGCTGCCGGATGTTCATGTCTGGCTTTGTGATGTCGAGCTCAACTTCTGGATTGTTGATCTGACTGGCCAAACCATCGCCCATAACTTCTGGAAGGTATCTGGATAGAGCAGAATATATAAACTGTGATGCGTTCACATAAACTGAAGTTAGAGTCTTACTCTTCATTGCAGATGTCATGTTGGTTGAGAGAGGAGTAGAGTGCTGCACGTTAAAGGGAACTTTATAAACATTAAGTCTGGGTTGTAACAAATGGCAAGCCTCAAAAAGATACAATAATTTATTCAAAAGTGCAATACAGTAAATATACACAAGTATGCTTCTTATTATACTTCGCAGTAGTACACAAAACATGTAAGCAAAGATTCCCACAAATATTACCGTACTTGTGCAGAAGTGAAAGCAATATCCTTTATAGGTTGTGAAATGCTCTAATTGTTAGTTTTTGTACATGCAGATTTGTTCAAATAATTATTTATCACAAATGAATTTATTTCTAGACGTGATTGTTAACTCTTAATAGTTTTTTTTTTTTTTTTTTTTTTTTTAAGAGGTAGATTTACTGATAAATATGTTGTTTTTGAAATACAGCTAAAGCATTTTTTAGTTACAGGAGTTTTAAGAAGAAGCACAAATGTATTTCCTTAAACCACACTAGTATAAACACAAATGTCTAATGTTTAATTAAGTATATTTTAATATCTAATTATATATATATATAGCTTGCGTTGTTTAATTTGAATTAAGCAGTATTTCTCAAAGTTTTCCTAAAGTTTTTGACTGTTTTACTAATTTTCCATTCTTGTGCTGAACCACTGCACCCCCACCTCCTCCTGGTGCTGAGCTAATTTCAAGCAGTTACATTTAAACACACATGCTGCCTAAACTTCGGCTTATGTGAATAAATTTCAGCCACATCAGCCTTCAAATATTAAACTAAACAATGGACTGTGTTATCTGTTTAAAATTTAAAGTATGTTTTGTGGCTCTGAATAAATTGTATTTGGGAAGGAATTACTTTTTGATTGTAACTAATCATAAGTGAATTGTAAATCAATATAATAATTGCAAAAGTTGCAGACCACTCCCTCACATGGATGCCTTTAACATCGAAAAAAAAAAATCCTTTAAAATATGTTTAACTCCATCGAGTCACAAGAAATTAAGTTTGAGCTTTTATTTAATCCACGAGATGTCACTGTTAAACTTCAAACACACACGCGCACACACACACTCAACCACACACACATATTCTTAATCTGTCACAACCAGTCAGCGATTCATCTATGTTTCATGGCCACCCTCAAATTATTCAGACGCATGAAGGCACATTTATATTTCATACCTTTCGGATGCCTCACATTTCTGAATAAACTGCTCAGAATAAATCTCAGAGCTTGGCTACGGTCCAAGCACTTAAAGACACAGAGGTGTGCCCAGCGGCTGGATAGAGTTTACATGAACAACGCATAAAACTGCTTAACAATCCATTTCCCCACGTGTGCTGACAGGGTTTTGGAGATGAAGGTTCATGTGGCCTTGAATGCTTCAGCTGCAGATTTAATCATGATTTAGAACCATTTTGTATGAGAAAAAAGATGGAACAACTTTCCTTTCAGTCCAGTTTTCAGTTTGTCAGAGCATGTCGCTTTGTGTTTTGACAAAAGTGTGACAAATTACCTTTTGGTAAAAAAAAAAAAAAAAAACAGGCCTCTGATTGGAACTTCTAGACGTTTTATTCCTGTCCACTCTGCTCATCTCTCTTTTGGTTAAAGTTAAAAAAGGAGGAAGGTTTCATGTTGGAAGAAATCCTGTTTTTCAGTTGCATTAATAAAACTTGCAAACTTTGAAGCAGCTTTTTCTCAACACTGTCAGTGGTTTTAAAGGTGGGGGGGTGGAAAAGTAGACAGCTTACAGTAGTGTCTGCACTCAATACAATACTCAGTTTAAAATACTTTTTTAAACCAACTGAAATTGCATTTCCTGCGAAAATGCAATGTGAATGCTTATTGTTGAAGAACTTGCTTAAAAACAGCTAAACTTTGCTAAAAAAGAAAACATGCTGAAATGTAGCTGCAACAGATGAACAAACCTAAGTTAGCAGAAGAAATAAAGAAGACATATTTACTGAATACAGAAATAAGCAGAAAAATTAGGAAATTAGCTAAAAAAAAGCTAAAATTAGCACAAAAAATAGCTGAAAAGCTGCTGAAATGGCAGAAAGAAACATAAACTACCAGAAGGAAGTGGAAGGAGTTGAAATGAGCTTAAAAAAATGTGGAATTAGCTGAAAAAGCTAAATGTAGCACAAAATAGCAGATACAGCTGAAACGAGCATAACAAACAGAAATTAGCATAAATAAGTTGATTAGGATGAAAGTAGCAGAGATTACCATGAAAAACTTGAATTTATCTGAAAACAGCTGAAATTAGCTAAAACAATATTTAAAAAGTAGCTGAAAATAAAAGCTTAAATTAGCAGAAGAAAGCAGAAAGAAGTAGAAATGAGCACAAAAAATGGAAATTATCCAAAAAAGCTGAAATTAGCAACAAAAACAGCTGAAAAGTAGCTCTAAAGGCAGAAGGAAGTAGGGAGAGCAATTGTTTATTTATTTTTGCTGAAATAAACTGGAATTTTTTTAACTGAGTGGAAAAAAATTGGAATAAGCTGAAAAAGCTTAAATTAGCATAAAAACATTTATAGCTGAAATAGTAGAATAAACTGAAACTTGTATAAATAAGCATAAAGGAGTATAACAAGCTGAAATTGGCAGAACGAAATTAGAAGAAGCATGAAAGTGTTGTAGTTAGCGGAAAGAATCTGAAAGGAGCACAAAAAAAAGCTGACCCCCCCCCCCCCACACACACACACACACACACACACACACACACAGCTTAAATTAGCTGAAAGTAGCTGGAAAAGAAGTTCAAATTTGCACAAGGAAGCTGAAGGAAGCTGAACCAGAACAAAATGTGAAAGGAGCAGTAAAAGGTTATAAACGCATGTTAAGATTTGAAGGATGTAAAAAGAGCTCAATTCATTTTCTATGAGAGATAAATGGCCGAAAAGGCTAAATATTTCAAAAAGCTAAAGTTGCACCAATAACAAAAGCCATAGCAGGCTTGTCCTGGAAGAGCTGAACATTTTGAGATACGATTTATAGAAATTGCTTGAAAACTGTAGGATGAGAGTCGTGCTGAAAAACGTCCAGAAGAAAAATGGATCACAACAGTGTGAATGCTTCATAAACATTCACACAATGAGAGATTGTGAATGTGCAACATCCCTCACCATTCTGTTTGCCTCACCTGGATTTTGACATGCCGTTCCAGCATTTATCCTGACTGTTGCCTCCTGCAGCAAATTTACTGCAAAGTGCCACAGGAAGCTGGATCCAATACTGACGCATCTCCCTCAGCTTACTGGACAGGTCTGACACCTGAAAACACAAAACGTCTTTTAGAAGTAGCAACCCAAAATAACACTTACATCAGATTTTATGTTCATTTCAGTTTATTTTTCTGCTGATCATGAGACACCCATCAGGAAGCAATCTTATAATTAATATATGCAAGCCACTTATCTGCAAATATTTATAAAAACCACTTAGTAACCATAGTAACAAGCCTGGATGCAAGCATTGGTATTATCTCTGATTAAAAGGACAGAAGTGATTAAAGCAGCTGGAATATGTTCTAATCCCTGGACTTTCCTTAAGTCTCATTAAAATCACGGAGCAGTGATTTCACAGATCCGAGTCATTAATGCACGAGGCGCTTGATTCTCCATCCATCTCTGTTCATTGTAGAGATTATTCACAGAAAATGATCAATCTGACATCTAGTAAAATTAACTTTTGTTTAAATTATGTGATACCCAAGAGCATAAAGCTACACATTAAATGACATTAAAGGAATGTACAACTTATAGTATTTGACTTTGACTAAATTTTATTTTTTTCATTTCAAGAACAATAATATAATCATTAGATTTCACACTTTTTTTATTTTAATTAGAAATGTTTCTTTTCTTCTCGTTGTTTATGCAAAGTTTGTAAGAAAATAAACCAAATGTCAGGTGAAATAAAATAATTGCCTTATTTGCATTATGACAAGTTGTTTTTAAACCATTGCTGTGCAGTATGCATGCACATGTATCCAGCTGTTGACCCTTTTAAAAAATGATATTTCTTTAAATTCCCAGACTTATATTTAACAAACTGTTATTCAGAGCTAACGCAAAGTTTTGAACAGACGTTCTTGTTCAGTTTGAATAGGCAGGTGTGTCCAGATAATTTAATTTACATGTAGTGCTGGGTTGTATTAAATGTAATATTCGTAAAACTGAACTCCCTACTTAACATTTTACTTTGTAGACAAAAGAGATATATAATAGTCAAAATTTATATTTTGCCTACACTTATGATTTGTTTTATGTTTTGTTTGGTGAAAACAAACTCAAAGGAACATTTATTAACCTTCATGATCCTCATAACCTTACACCAAAGTGCATGCTCAATAATCCAGGTATAAAATCCAACAATGTTCGGTCAAGTCATCTGGACGGTTTCATCCTTCATCCAAAGGACTTCTTCAATCTGAGGAACCACCAAACAAAACTGAATCCCACAACAGCCTCTAGTAGAAAAAAAACAGCTTGCTGGTGCTAAGATGGCCTCCGTGGCCTGCTCTCTGCCCCGTCAGCTCCTCAGAGACAGTCATGCCAAAGTGGTTCAAAACACCACTTGTTGTGACAGGATTTTATTTCTACCTGGATTATTAAGCATGAACTTTGGTGTTTTGAACCATGCTGGAATGGAGGAGTTGATGAGGGAGAGGGCGGGCCCTGGAGGCCATTTTAGCACCAGCAAGCTGTTTCTTTTTCTACTATGGAGTATGCTGGTGTGGGAATCAGTTTTGATTGGTGGCTCCTCAGACTGAAGAAGTCCTTTGGATGAAGGACGAAACGTGTCAGAAAAAAAAAAAACAAGTCCAGATGACCTGACTGAACATTGTTGGATTCATCTATTCTCCATGAGATGATGCACTTCAGGCTTCCTTTTTACTTTCTTTATTTTCCTTTTACTTTGCTCTTCATTTACTATAATATTCAGGACATATTGGGGGAAAAAATGAAGCAAACCTGCATTTCCAGTCTGAGACCAGCTGTAGGTGAGGGCTTGTATTCTGAAGCGGTCAGTGAGCCACTTTTCCTCTTCTGCCCATGGAGGACAGGACTTCCTGTTCCTGGTTCACCAGGAGTTCCACACATTTGATACACCTGCACCCACCCAGGAGACGAAACAAAAGAACTCTTACCATAAATCTGAAGTGTCTTTACAAACAGAAGTAATTTAAACAGACATCAAATCAATACTTTGTGTGACACAGCTTCATCTAACCATTATTACATGTTTTTATTTTTTTTTTATGATGCAAGCTCTAAAATTGTTTGTAAAACTGTATAACTAAGTATATTTTTAAATTTTAATGTGAGACTATTGTGATTACTTGCAAAGATTTTAAAATAACTTCTGCAAAACATACAAAACAGAAATGCGTTAGCTCTGGATTTTAGTCCCAGAAGATATTTTATAAACTTTGGCATGCATCAAAATATTTTACTGAGTCTGATTTCCAGATGATTGGCAAGAGCGACGAGCAAACTGTATTTGTGAGTAATAAAACATGTCCGCTAGATGGCGCTGCAAACAAATGTTTCAAATTGTTCTGGTGTTGCTGCCCTTTGTCCTGCAGGAGTTACCTTGAGCACATCCATGCTCTGACAGTATTGGCAGAGCAATGTGTTGAAGGAGAACATAGATCAATATGTAATCATGGAAGCTGAGCTGATTAATGAAAGATCTGAGGAACGAGAAAACTTCCTAAAGATTTCTTAAAGAGCTGAGAATCAAATAAAGTCAAATTAAAGTGATGTGATCATAAAGAGGCCTCACCTTGGCTGTAAACGTGTCCATGTTGTCCTGCAGGTAGTGCACGGCCTCGTAGATACGAGCAGGAATGGAGGACAGAACCACGTCAAGACTGGGTTCTGCGCTGAAACTGGACGCCACCATGATCATTGTATCTGGACAAAGGAGGGTATTTCTCACTTGCATGCACATGTGCATGACACAACCACGGAGGACGGCATGTGACAAAATGAAATAAATAAATAAATCATGAAACAAATCATTCAAAAGGTACATTTCATTATTTAATCGTGTATTTAATAATTTAATTGTGTATTTAACGATACAATAATGTATTTAATAATTAAATGATACATTTAATTGTTACATTTGTATTATGTACTTATGTCATTTTGTCACATTCCGTCCTCCATAAAAAAAAAAAAACATTTACAACAATAATAATAATAATAATAATCTACACAAACCATATTGCTAATCCTTAGCATTACTTTGAGCTTGCTGAAAGCTGTTTTAATAAGAATTTATACAACAAAGTTTTCAAGAACTTGTAACGTAAATACTCAAAGTCTGAACAGCAGATGAATGAAGGTATTACTCCGTAAACAGAGTGTCTCACCTATAAGCTCCTTCCACACTGGATCCAGGTCAGCTTGGTTGGCCAGGCAGCCCTTCATCACGTTGGAGCAGTAGTTGGAGCACGGTTTGACGGAAGCCAAGCCACGACAGTGAGGGCAGTAAACCAGCTTCATCAGGGCCCTCGTGCACTCCTGACCCAAAGAGACCTGGGGATGGTGAAAAATAAACATGTCTCAGTAATGAAATAAGGCTCTTTCACTTACAGATGTCCACGGTTCATGGCTGTTAAATCTGTTTTATTGTAAGAGCTACGTGAAGCTACTGAAGGCTGACAGTAGAGAGCAGTATTTACACATTAACCTGGAAAAGGCTGAACATGAAATCAATGCTTCCTATTGTTAACCTCAGAGAATGAGCAGGGCTAGCCTGGAAATTCCTTTCTAAAAGTGGAAATTTGTTAGTCGTTACTGAATAGAGGATTGCATCTGGGGGTTTTATCGCAACGCGTCAGATTTTGACGGTAAAATAAATAAATAAAAGGTGCTTGGATGAATTATGACACAAAAGGAGAGACAAGACGTAGGTTTGCAAAACCCTAGCCGGCTGCTTTAATAAGTAAAAAGCCCAGTTGAAATATTGTTTCAAGTTGAGAAATACGGAAACATTACAGAAATCTGTGTTTTGGTGGAAAACTCCAAAGATTAAAAAAATAAAGATCATCACACCCATAAAGTGACATCTGGGCTGTCATCACTCCAAATGAGAGCTTTGTTCTGAAAGTCTGACACTTCATTTCTGATGATCTGTGTGTTTCTCATTGGGGGGGGTTGAGACATTCTCTTTGACAGTTAGGGCGTGACAACCACACAGCCAGCATATCTGTTTTCCTGGGAATCAGCCCAGCAGACATTAAACACACTCACACGTAAAAAAAACAAAACACTCATAAGATCACTGCTTCAGACGACAATATTTACTTACATTTAACTCCTGGAGACTGATCAAGATCATAATTACTGTTTGTACACCGTAGGACTGATTATGTTGTGTTTTAACATTCAGTGTCCTCAACGGAAGGCGTGTGCTAACGAAGTGAGCGTGTGAAGATTTATGTCCCACATGAAGAACAGAAGGAACATGCTCACCTGTGAGACCTTCCTGACCACATCAGTGCTGACTAAGAGCCCCTGGACAAACGACCTGGCAGTAACAAAGGACCGGGACACCTTCCCTTTCATGTCTCGAGGGATGTCTCCAAATGGCCGTAGCGTCTCCTGTTGCTTAGCAACACATTCGAGGTAATCCTCTGACAGGTTGACCTGTCAAACAGAGATGACAGCAGCAGACGGGGGGGTGGTAAGGGAATTATATTTCTCAGAATGGTAATACAATAAATGGTGTGTTTCATTCCCATCAAACAGTCTAATTTGATGAATTTCTGATTATTGCTATATGTTCAAATAAATTACTAGACCAGGGCTATTCAATTAGCGGCCCGCGGGCGACTTCAATCCAGCCCACCAATGATTTCATAAAAAATTAGATGTTTTGTTTTGTTTCTGGACTTGGATTGTGTTTATTGCATTTATGATTCAATGCAATAAAATAAATGTAAATGTAACAGATCATTGTAAAACTTGGTTTATTTACAGAATGACTTTAATCGCTGGATGTTCGGCCCCTGAGCTGCTGGCTTTCAGAAACTGTGGCCCCCTGAGCAGTTTAGTTGAATAGCCCTGATAGACCATGTTTTATTACATTGTGTCTTGTAGTGCAAGACAAGTTTATAAAACCTTTAATTTTGGTCCGAATGATGGTAATAAAACTTGATCATTGTGCTAGAATGTGCGTCTTTCCATTTGTTCATTCTAAATTACTAATCCAAATCTTCAGCTACGTATTATTGCAATTAAAATGAGCACGCTTTTTTTTTTTTTTTTTTTAACCTGTCGTTACTCACATCTGTGAGAGCAGATGCTTTAAAAGTTCGCTCTAACAGGCGGGACCAGAAGTCAGAGAAGATCTCGCCCAGGTTGAGGGCAGAGCCCCGGTAGTACTGGCGCAGGTCGGTGTAGAGGTCTCCGAAGAGACGAGTGTTCTGGGAGTACAGCGAGCCGAGAGGAGACAGCACCTCCTGCAGGGAGCGCTCAGATCGACTGTGGAGCTCAGTGAAGTAGGCTGGAGGAGATGCAGAGAGACAGAATGAAAGGTACAGTACAGCTAAAGGGATTTTTAGTGATGTTCTGTTAAGTACTTATGAATAGTTAGTATCAGGTGTGACATTGGTCAGGGGCCGACGTCTTAGTTCAGGCCGGGCTATTTGTTATTCAAACGAAGGCTTAATTTGTTTCAAATCACTTTTTAGCATGAAAAAAAACAGCTCTTTTCAAAAACAATACTCAGATGTGTAAAAAACCCCAACTTTAGCTAATGTTAAACTACTACTCTTTTGCACGCTCTAATTTGCTGAACATTGTCTGTGTTACTGCTCAAACGTATGTGTACTGAGCAGCAACTGTGTAAATGTGGGTGCCCTAACAGTCTGCAGAGAGTTCAGTAAACTTTAACTCTGACTAGACGTGCTGATTAGGTGGACAGATCCATTCAGCATCATCAGCATCTGTACAGTTTAGACTCGACACACATGCATTCACGAAGTAACATAGACGATGTTTGGTTGAGAAAATCACAACATACTAAACAACCAGTGTCATAGAAATGTTTAGAGGTTTAGTATTAGCTATGCAGCATTCTTTCACACCAGTATAAATGCTATGTGCTCCATGACTAATGTCATGGCAGTATGATACTCTAACTGCTTGACATTACTTCAGACATGACCAAACTTTCTGATTAAAACTTTCCTTAATAGCAACAGATGCAAACAAACACAAGCGTTCATTTAAAGACATGATTCTACCCACATCACTTTCAGTTTCATTTAGGTCTTCACTAGCATGTGAGGTACTGTACTTTACACCGTATAAGTCGCATCAGTCCAAAAATATCTAATAAAGTGGGGGGAAAAAAACATAAATAAGTCGCTTCGCCGTATTAGTCGCATCTATTATGCGTCACCGCTGACCAACCGGAAACATGGGCCGGTGGTGTGCCAAAAATCGATTGGCTGCCAAATGGTGGCTGCGAGAGTGTGCCTGGGAGGACTTTAACAAGAATTTAACAAGATCAACACTTAAAAACAATTAATTGTTTGCTTGAAATTATAGCAAAGGCATGTCTCAGTTTAAGTTTTTCTTAATAGATGCACTTTAATGGTCAAATCAGCTGCATTTCTCTTGGGCGGCGCGGCAAAATGCAGCTGATTTTTTCTCCAGGAGTTCCAGAGCAATACAAAGGTGGCTCTGTATGGCAAGCCAACTGCCTCATTAATAGCCAATTTTACCTATTAATGAGACACTTGGCTTTCCAAATTACTCAAGCGCCCTCTAGCGGCTGAAAATGATAGTGTTCAATATTTTCTATATCAGAATGAATGAAATCGTCAGATCTCAGCCAGAAATTGGTTTATAAATATGGGAAAAAACATAAATAAGTTGTGTCGGTGTATAAGTCACAGGGCATGTAAATTTATGCAAAATGGTGTGATTTATATGGTGAAAAGTACAGTGCTTTAGATTATTTGTATAAAATAAATGCTTGACTACAATCATTCGATGGCTGATGACTTCTGTTTGTGTTTAGTGATCATGTTAGGGCTAATGCGTTATCTGTTAGTTATCACAACAGGGATGGATAAGGAATAAAGAACCATAACAACAATAATAATATTAATA